CATTTTAAACAAGTTTTAAGGCTGAAATAGTCGAAAATCGATTTTTAGCTTTCTGGAAAAAGTTCTTAAAAACTCATATTTTTTCATGTTTTGATCCAAATTTTTGGTAAAAAGTGTGAAATTTTATGTTTTTGCTTGAATCTTTGTCCGCTTAAAGCTTGTGCGATTTAACATCCGTGTGTTTCTAGTTGTTTTGATATAGGATATACCGGACATCATTTGGGCGGATACATTGACCGGTTTAGCTAATCCGGCTGACAAACCGTTGATGCTTTGTGCGGATTAGTTGATGCTTTGTGCGGTTTAAAGAATTCGGTTGATAAACCGTGTAACTCTTGAAAGGTTTAGTGTGCGGTTTAAAAGTATCCGGCTGGTAAGAAATTTGTAACTTGTTCGGATATTGAACGGTTTAAAACAATCCGTGTGGTAAGTGTGTGCGGTTTAGAATCCGTTTGGTAAGTCTTGGACTTTTGAGCGGTTTATTTTTACAATCGTATATATCTTGGACGGTATTAAATTGAACGGTGTTTGACTTTGATCGGTTTAATTGTTTGATTTTTTGATCGGTTTAATAAGTTTGACTTTTTGATCGGTTTAATTGTTTGACTTTTTGATCGGTTTATTAAGTTTGACTTTGTGATCGGTTTAAAATTTTACTCTTTCTGCGATTTATCTTTGTGCGGTTTATGTCCATGTGTTGCCCGGATTTCTAATCTGGATAACTTGATAAATTTGTCTATCTTTTTGACCGGACTTGTAAACCGGATAAACTTGTGCGGATTACTAATCCGGACAAGTGCTTGTGCTTAATTGTCTAAGTGTTKAATGTGTGCTTATTCAAGTTTACACTTTATCAGATATATTTTTTTGTAAACTGATCTTTTAAATTCAAACTTTGAACTGCAGTTGATCCTATTTTTCATACAAACTGATAAGATGAGTTCAAAAGAAGCAATGGCTATTGGTACTGATACCAAGCCACCCGTTCTTTTTCGTGGTGACTATAATCAATGGAGAGACAGATTTCTGAACTTCATTGAAAGGATGAAAGAAGGAGATCTAATAATGAAATCTCTAATGGAAGGTCCTGCTAAATTCTTTATAGAGATAGAATCTGAAACAGTAGTAGGCATACCTGTACAGAAAGTTCCTAAACTTAAGGAACATTATTCAGCTAAAGAGAAAGAAAGAGCCCATGCTGATGTGCTTTGCAAATCTTACATGATGCAAGCACTGACTAATGACATCTACACCAGTATTGACAGCTATAAATCATCTGGTCACATCATGTGGGTTCAGATAGAAAAGATGATGATGGGTTCGAAAGTT